CACCCCCGTCGCCCCCCCCCATCGGGGGCGACGGGCCAGCCCGGCGCACACACACGTGGCCCACCCCCCATCGGGTGCGATGGGCCCGCCCGGCACGCGCACACACACACACTTCTCCCTCCCCCCCTCAGGTGCGATGGTCCCGCCCGGTACCTGCTCCGCCGTCAGGGCTTTGCCGGTGGATGGAGCTGTCGGTGCGCTCTTGCTCTTCCCACTGTCCGCCATCTTCCCGCCAGTTCTGCGCATGGTCCGTTCCTCCCCACTTCCGGGGTCACGACCTCCAGCGGACGGGAAAAGGGGCCTTTGGGCGCCATATTTGTTTGGGGCACGTCCCCTAGCGACGCTCCTGGGCCGCCCCCTTCGCTAGGGGCCCTTCCGGCTCGCCGGGCCTGGCTCCGCTCTCTGCCCCCCGCAGCCTTCCGGCGGCCTCGGGAACCAGGAGCGGCCTCGCCCACCCCGCCGGCGGCCCCGTCCCCGCGGCCTGCTCCATGTAACGGCCCCGCTCGCTGGGGGGGCGGAGCTGGGGGTGGGGGAGGGGCGGTACCTGCTCTCGGGCTCGCCCCGGGGGCTCGCCCCTGGCAGTCAGCGCAGGCTGGGTACGGCCCGTCGGGGGCCCCGCCCCGGGAAGGGGGAGCGGGGGGTGCGGGGTACGAGGCGGGAGCGGATCTGATCTCGCCATTGTAGTTCTGTCCATCCAGAGACTGAGATTTCGCTGCAACAAAATAGAGGTCCTGGGCCTGGGTTTGTCCATTAAAAACTCCGCCCGTGTGGAGGCCGGTGCAGCCCCTGGGCTCTCCGCAGAGCTCGTGTCGCCCCCCAGAGCCCCACAAGCCAGAGCTGAAGGGGGAAGGGACTTGGGGTCAAAGGGTTCAAAGCTCAGATTTGTGTCGACGCCGTTTTGGCCTCAACAGCAAATGCCCATCTTGGCTAATGGACGCCTTTATTAACCATACCACACCCCTGCCCTTCGATTATCTTGTTCTCGCTTTCTGTTCTCCGTAGATTCTTATGCCATCGTGGTCCTCGCCGGCGTAGGAGCGCCTTCCGGTCATGCCTTAAGCAATTGCCTGGCATCTGGCACGTGTGGTTTGTTCTCTCACCCTCTCCCTTGGAGAATAAGTGTGTGCAGTGGAGGGTTTTGCTATGATAAGGTTTGTTTTATGGTTGGAGGCAGGTTGTTGGGGGTATTTTCACATGCACGTTGCTCTGTGTTTGTGTTGGAGAAGACCAGCTCAAAGTTCGCTGAGCAAATATCACTGTGCCCTCCCATAGCTCCTGCAACCAACCCCCGGGAGGCCAGACTTGACCTTCCTGCTGTTGCTGAGATAAACCACTGAGCAGCAAGAAACTGGTTTCTTGTCTCTGGCTGCCTGAGCCACCTTCTTGGGACCAAGTTTCTAGGATGGTCCGTCCAGGAAGTCTCTCAGGTCAGATGTTCAGAGAAAGTGGCTGCAAAAGGGACATGAATCTGGATGAAGAAATATTGGTGTTTGTTGGCACAGGTATTTTGGAAAGCTTCTCAAGGACTGTGCCAAGCTGTGATGCTGAGTGCCGGGCTGGTGTGTTGTGGTAGGGTTGTTCATGAGCATAGAATCATAGACTATCAGGGTTGGAAGGGACCTCAGGAGGTCATCTAGTCCAACCCCCTGCTCACAGCAGGACCAATCCCCAACTAAATCAAGCATTGGGCTGGCCAGGCTGGTGTGTTGTGGTAGGGTTGTTCACGAGTGCTGGGCTGGCCAGGTTGGTTTGTGGTGGTAGGGTTGTTTCTGAGCACCATGCTTGTTTGTTGTGGTAGGGTTGTTCCTCAGCACTGTGCTGGTGTGTTGTGGTAGGGTTGTTCCTCAGCACTGTGCTGGTGTGTTGTGGTAGGGTTGTTCCTGAACACCAGGCTGGTTTATTATGGTAGAGTTGTTCATGAGTGCTGGACTGGCTGTGCTCATAGGTTGTGGTAGGATTGTTCCTGAGCTCTGTGCTGGTGTGTTGTGGTAGGGTTCTTTGTCAGCACTGGGCTATTCCTATTTCCCATTATTATTATTATTATTATTATTTATTTTCTATTGAAAAGGGAAACACTGATCTTCTTTTAACCCCCCCCCCACCTCCACCCATCACCCCGGGCCGCCATCAGCAGGCCTCCAAGGAGTGGGGTTGGTCTGGGCTTCTCGCTGCAGCGGTTGAACAGAATCGTTAACCCCCCCCCCTTTCCCTGCGCATCCCCCAGGCTCAGAGCAGTGATCCAGACCCATCTGTGCCCGCTGCACCGGGCCTTTCGCCAGGCTCCCGGGAGGCAGCTGCGAAGGATCCCATCCTGCACAGCCAGCCGCAGGTACAATGGGCGGGGTTGTGGGGAGTTGGGCACCTGGGGAGGGTTGGAGGAAGCTGATGCCTGATTCTCTAAGGCCTAGGCATAGGCGTCCTGTCCAAGGCCGTCTCTGGAAGGACCCTTTACAACACGACCATAGAAAGCTGGGCTGGAGCCCAGAAGCTGCAGCCGTTTGCCTCTCCTCGATCAGTCTGTTCCACTCTCCTCTTGTTCCTGGCCCCCAGCCCTGCCCTGCTGTCCTGTGCCCCTTGGCAGCCTGGCATCATGGCTGCCATTGCGCTGAAGCCCCTCATCGCCGTGTGCCAGCTCACCTCCACGCCCGACAAGGAGCAGAACTTCGCCAGCTGCTCACAGCTCATCCAGGAGGCAGCACACCGTGGCGCTTGCATCGTCTTCCTCCCCGAGGCCTTCGACTTCATCGGCAGCGACATGCAAGAGACCCTGAGCCTGGCCGAGAGCCTGGAGGGGGCCCAGATTCAGCGCTACGCCGGCCTGGCCAGGTACGGTTCTGTACGACGGAAGAGCAGCACAGGCGGCGCTGCGAGATCCCTTTCAGGGCCAGGGCAGGATTGGGTCCACTCGCTTAGCCCGGCCTTGTTCAAATGGCCTGCGTGATGGGGCTCCCGCCCCATCCCTGGGGAGCTGCCCCACGGCTGTACTCTGCTTTCCAGCCAAATGGTGATCCCGCACTTCGTTTCGCCCTGCTCTCACTATTCCACCCCCGTGTACCGCCCTGTCTATCCCTCATCTGCCTGGAGCTTGCTCCCCTCGCTTTGAACCTTTCCCCATTGTTCCTGAACTCCCTTCACTCTGTCATAATCGCTCTGGAAGCAAGGGACTCGGTGTGGGACCCAGGTGATGGGAGGGGGCAGGAATGAACTACCCTATTTAGTGCCAGATCTCTGAAGGGTTAGACCCTCAAGGAGGAGAGGTTGGATGTGACCCGAACCCCGTTTGGAAGGGCCCTGGCGGGGCTGATGGGGCTTGTGGTCCCTTCTCAGGCCGGGTGGGCAGGGGATGGCAGGAGAGGCAGCAAAGCGAAGCTGGTTAGGGTTCACTGCAGGCCTCCCAGCCTTGACAGCATCTCTCTAAATGGCAGCGTGGACCACAGCCGCTCTCGTTGGGACAGGCTGTGGAGCCCGTCTGCTTTGGCTGCCGGTTCGGGCATTGTCCCCATCCAGTCTGCTGGGCGGGGCTCAGTCCTGTTCCTATTGGACAGACGTGGCCGGCAGTAGCCGGCAGACGGGCCAAGCGCTGAGTGAGCTATGGAACCAGCGCTATCCGCTGGCGGGGCCTTGGCAGGGCGGGCGCGTGCAAGCAGGGAAGTGTGCGAGGGAAGCTTGCCCTGGGCTGCAGCCGCTCTGGGGGTTGAGTATCAGAGGGGTAGCCGTGTTAGTCTGGATCTGTAAAAGCAGCAAAGAGTCCTGTGGCACCTTATAGACTAACAGACGTATTGGAGCATGAGCTTTTGTGGGTGAATACCCTCTTCTGGGGGTTGAGGCTGTCAGGGTCCAGAGCCATTGCTCGGGCATGTGGGGGGCAGTGAGGGCCCAGGGAGGGCTCCAAGCTCCTGTGTAATGCGGGTGCATCTCTGCCTGGCAGGGAGTGTGGAGTGTGGCTGTCTCTGGGTGGCTTCCACGAGAGAGGCGAGGACTGGGCCAGCACCCGGAGGATTTATAACTCTCACCTGCTCCTGGACCCCACAGGTGAGAGCGTTGGGTGCTGCGCCAGCCCCTCCCTGCAGGGAAATCTCCTGGCACTGCCCTGGCTCCGAGCCCCTGCCATTGTGGGATAACTGATGGATGTGAAGGGGTCACTGCTCTCTGCCTGTTGTCCCGTGCCTGGTATGGGCACAGCTGAGAGGGCCAATCTACAGGTCAGACTGTCAAAAACTAGGCGGATGCTCCCACACTCGGGGTATAGTCTAGAATTAGATTTAACCAGAGCTGCAACAAATGTGTGTTCCTGCATCGCCATAGGTTTCAGAGTGGTAGCCGTGTTAGTCGGTATCAGCAAAAAAACCGAGGAGTCCTTGTGGCACCTTAGAGACTAACATGTATTTGGGCATAAGCTTTTGTGGGCTAAAACCCACTTCATTGGATGCATGCGGTTCTCTATGTATAAATATCTTCCTACTGTATTGTCCACTGCATGCATCCGATGAAGTGGGTTTTAGCCCACGAAAGCTTATGCCCAAATACATTTGTTAGTCTCTAAGATGCCACAAGGACTCCTCGGTTTTTTTTGGATCGCCATACTAGCTTAACCCGGAGCCGCAGACAGTCCCCTTAGACATTCCAGCCTATGTCACCACCCAGGCAGACTAGACTGCTGTGAGGAAAGGTTATTAAAACAGATCAGTGGATGCTCAGGACCTTAAACCAAAGACAACACTGCAGCCAATCCTTTAGTAAACTAACAAAAGATTTATGAACTAAGAAAAAGGAATGAGAGTTACTAAACGGCCAAAGCAAATAAAAGTTGGATGAAACTATGTTATCCAAAATGATAGCAGGATGTTAAATCTGCTCGTTGTCTATAAGTCTCCCTGGGTTGGCCAAATAGTTTTGGGGACCTCCGTCCATTTATTTGAAATTTCCCCAGTTAGAATTCAGGAAAGAGGTGGTGAGGGGCCTTTGGTCTCCTCTTTCTATCTTCCACCTTTTTGCAGGAAAAATCCTGGCTGTGTCACGAGTCAGACAGTTCCACGGCGTACGTTCTTTGCCATCAGTCCTGGATGTGAACTACAAATTTTGCTGGCACCTCCTGTGCACATGCAGTCTGAGGGATCTTTGGGGCAACATGCAGAGGCCCCTATTTACAGATTTTGTTATACCCGAAGAGCCAGCCTGTGGGCGTTTCTCAGATAGACAACATGTTTGAGTTACAAACATATACCAGAATTTCATAACTCCACACACAGTGTCAATACACACATTATAACAGGATACTAATACTCAGCGGCTTACAACTTTTCCAATGATCCCTCACAATACATACTTTCAACAAGATTTATCACACTTTTGTAAAAGTGGTGACCATATTAGTATAGACTGTCACCTTCCCCTTTAGACAGCATCACACACATGCTGGCAGCTCGGGGCCAGGGCATGAACCAGATCCCTGATTCATCCAAGCTGGGAAGAAGGAGGCAGTGTGGGAGTCAGGACTCCTGGGTTTTATCCCCAGCTCTGCCCTTTGCTGGGGACATCCCTTCCCCTTGCCTCCAATGGGGACAATGCTGCTGACCCACCTCCTAGAGGCTGTGGGGAGGAGTCAGTGGTGGGGTTGCAAAGCACTTGGAGATCTCATCTGGCCAGCGCCACAGAGCCTGGGGTGTTGGCCCTTTCCCCTGACCCCCCCTTCTCCTAGAGGCGGGGGAATGCCCATGCTGCCTGCAGTCTCCTCTCCCCCTCGTCCCCAGGGCACGTCGTGGCCACGTACAGGAAGACCCACCTCTGCGACGTGGAGCTGGAAGGGCGAGTGTCTATGAAGGAGAGCAAGTTCACCAACCCCGGGCCTGAGATTGTGCCGCCCGTCAGCACCCCTGCTGGGAAGGTAGGAGCCCGGGTGCGGTAGGGAGGGGGCGCTGGGCAGGGTGAGCCAAGATCTGAGACTCTCAGGCCAAGCCCCGTACTGTCGATCTGGAGCGACGGCGCCAACAGCGGGGGTGACTCTGGACTTAGCTGAGAGCAGAGCAGGGCTCTAGCAGCCACTGATCCTGAGCCCTTATGGCTGCCGAGACAGAGCCCTCAGCATCTCCCGTTCCTCTGGGTAGCTCAGGCTGGGCTGGGCGGGAGACAGGTTTCCCCTCTGGTGAGGATTTCTGAGAATTCAGAAATGTTTCCGTTGGGAGTTGAGGCCTGGCTGGGTCATTGCTCAGGGCCCACGGCCACTGCCTGCCCCAGGTAGGATTGTTTCATGGAAAATGAGAGTTCAAAGGGGGGGGAGGGAGGGAGAGGAGTGCTCTTGCATATGGGGCTGGGGGAGCCCTAGGCCCAACCGGGAGCCCCAGTAACCTGTGCTGACTTCCTTGATTCCCTGCCACAGCTGGGGGGGAGGGAAGGCGTCTCACTGGGCTGAATATTTGGCTGGCGTCACCATATTTGGTACAGGTAACCGCTTCCAGATGTAGTGGCGGTATCGGGACCAGTTCCCTGATTTCACTAACGCATGACAGACCACGGGGGCAGCATGCCCAACCCCCTCCCCCAACAGTGACCATGACGCACCCTGGTGTGCAGTGAGGCTTTATGCCTGGCCCCAGTAACCCCTGGAGCATGAGGACCGATGGCCCACGTCATTCTGATTCCTGCTAGTATCAGTGTAGGTGCCATCCTGGCTCCCATCCCCTGACTGATCTCTGCCAATGTCTGCTGCAGTGAAATCCTGCAGCAGTGAGTTCCGTGGGTCATTCTTGCAGCTTTCCATGGGTGGCCTGTACAATGCATCTAGCGCCCTTGGGTGTTTGGGCACAGGGTAAATTGGAGCCCAGTTGGCCTTCTCTCTAGTGAATTGGGTTTCCATTGAAGCAGGCACAATCAGGCCCTCGGATCCCCCCCACTTTGGTGGCAGTTGTTGTGCAGACAGGGCCGGAGCTGCCCTGGGGGCGAGTTCTGGAGCCTAGGGCAGCTGCGGCCCTTGCTTGGTTGAGGCCCATCACTAGCAGCACCTATGGGGATCTGTGTCATTCGCCGGCTCACAGAACCCCTCTTCCTCCTCCAGGTTGGCCTTGCCATCTGCTATGACCTGCGTTTCCCAGAAATCTCTCTGGCGCTAACCCAGGAGGGGGCAGAGATTCTCACCTACCCATCGGCCTTCACGGTGACCACAGGCTCCGCCCACTGGGAGGTGAGTCCAGCCCTGACGAGCAATGCAGAGCCTGTGTATATGAGACCACCGCGCACTCTAGTGGGCGTGCAGACATGTGCACACGTCGCCCTTAGAACAGCTCCTGACCATTAGAAGAAGTGTCAAGCAACACGTCCAGCTGAGACCCGCTGGGGAGATGATATGGGGGAAGCCTGGGCTCAGAGCCTCCTGCCAATAGCCCAGAACTAGCCCAGGGGCTGGCTAGGGGGGTTGGCTGGTTGGAGCTTGGCGGGGAGCGTCCGTGGTGAGCACCCCTGCCCCTCTGTCCGCCCCGCTCAGGTGCTGCTGCGAGCCCGCGCCATCGAGACCCAGTGCTACGTGGTGGCAGCAGCTCAGACCGGAAAGAACCACGAGCGCCGCACCTCCTACGGCCACGCCATGGTGGTGGACCCCTGGGGCAGCGTGATCGCCCAGTGCCAGGAGGGGCCAGGCCTGTGCTACGCCGAGATCGACCTGGACTACCTGCGCCGCATCCGCCGGGAGATGCCGGTCTGCACCCACCGGCGGGCCGATCTGTACGGCAGGGTCACTGTGCTGAAGAAACCCCCGCCCCCCTGAGGGGCTCCCCCCACCCTGGAAAATCCACCACTGCCAGCCAAGCCCTGCAACGCTCCGTGATCAGGGAGCAGAGACCCCTCCCGATATCCCCTCCCCACCCCGCACAGACCCAGTGATCAGTCACTGATTCATTTAGCAATAGGATGACTGGCTGAGCTGGCCCGAGGGCTCTCCCAGTGTGTGCTGGGCAGAGGCGCCCTCTGGGGGACAGCATGGAACTGCAGCACAATTCCTGCTCCAGGCCCTAGCGAAAACAGAGCATTTCCCAGGGGTGAAGGGAGCAGCTCCCCCTGAGCCTCCGTCGGCCCCCAGGCAGCCACCCTGCGGAAGGTGCATTCGCAGGGGGCTCCCGCGGCTGAGCAGGTAGAGGGAGGAAGCGGAAGTGAGGCAGCTGCTGGCCACCCCCCAGCTCTACGGAGAGGTTCCCGGGGCTGAGCTGAAGTCACAGCTCAGCAAACGCTCGTGTGTACCAGCTCCTGAGGGGTCCTGCCTGCTGCCCTTAGCACTACTTCCCACCCCCCTGCCTGGGGTCTCCGTTTCGCAGCACGGGGAGAGGGGCTGATGTCCCGTCCCCCCCCCCGGGGCAGTTCCTGTCATTCATAACTAGTTAGGAAGTTCTAAGAGTGCAAAGTCACTGCTACTTCTGAGCATATAGGGTGGGCCTGAGTCTCCCCTGGGCCTCAGCAAGGGATGGATTGGCCTGGGCTACTTCACCTTTAGAGTTCCTGGGGTCCTGGAGCAGGGAACTGCACCCTGGTTATAGCCCCTCCAACGCTGCTGAGAGACCTTGGACAGGTCCCTTCCTCAGTTTCCCCATTGTCCTGTGACACTCACGTGCTCCACGATCCTTAGGTGAAAAGCTCCATGTTAGCATGAGACCCAGGCAGCTGGTGAAAGGACAAATGACACTTAGTAATTGAAGTAATGGGCAGCCTAGAGGGCTAAATGCTGGCCACAACCCTGGCATAAAGCAGAACTGGATAATCTTTGTGCTATACCTCTCCCCCAGGCTCAGGGCCCCCTGCCTGCCAGCCATTATCTCCCCTCCCCATCCCAGTGCCTTGTGGTAGCTCTGCCTTGCATCTAAGCTACTGTCCCTGTGTGTGTGTCACTTTCTCCTCCAAGCCCACTGGCCCTATGGAGAGCAAGGCCCAAAGACCAACCGTGTAGCAGGAAACATGTTCCCTGCCCCAGTAAAGGGACTGTCTCTCAAGTGGTTAGAGCTGGAATCCTGGCTTATATTCCCAGCTTGTAATGACTTCCCTGGCCTCTTTTATGTTACCTGCAGGGAGCCTGTCTGTTCAGGCAGGTGCACCCAGCGTGAGACCTTTGGGACAGTACTTTTGCGGTGGCCCTTGAGTTTGCCTCTAGAAACCAGGGCCAAGGCTGGATTTCCTCCCAGGAAGAGCATGAGGGTTCAGTTAAGTCATAATAGAGAATTGTGAGTTGTATGGGGGGAGGGGGAGAAAGAGGGTCCAGCCCTAACCGAGCTAGGTCTAGTGGCTGAGCCAGTGCAATTAATCAAGGCCCCACTTACATCATCTACAGGCTGATTTAAATCCAGGGGGGCAGTTCATGGGTGGTGGACCTAGTGGTTCAGGCTGGCTGCAGACTCAGGTAGACATTGCTAGATGGTTCTGGCGCTGATCAGCAGTGAAGAGGGGCATTCTCTAGCCATGCAACCCACAGGGCCCCTGCTACTCTCAGCTCCTTTTCCCCAGCACAGCATCTTTCATTGAAGTGCAGCTATGACAATAATGAGGATTGCACCTTTACCAAACCGAAGAGGGGGAACAGCAGCCCCCCAGCGAGGGCAGCCAAGCACACCCGGGGCCCAGCAGCTTAACGTGTCTCTGGGGCTTCGCTGAGCTAGGCCAGTTGGGATCTTACAAAGAAGATAAACGTTACCCTGCCCAGGCAGATGTGCTTCTGCAGGGCTCAAGGTCAGCCCGGAAGGAAATGGAAAACCAGAGGCCAGATGAGACACTTCAAAACAAAACACCCCAAACAGCTGGAAGGGAACGTACATGACCCAGCAGCAGCAGGTCCGTCTGACCCAGCAGCCGAGCAGTAAGGAAGCAGACGAGATGCAGTAGATGTTTATTTCAAGAAAACTGAAAGCTACACGGGGATTATGACTGTTATATTGGAAGTTTAAAAAATACAGAAGAGTCACAGAAATTACACAGTTTGTGCCAGAATTGTCCTTAAAGAGGGAGGTGTGTGTGGGGAGGGGAGGGGGTCTACGCGCTCTCAACTGAGACAACCTGTGGATAGAAAATGCATCAACACACACACACCAAACAATCCCATTGAGGCATGAGGGTTGCAGCCCGCAGGGCTATCACATGCCCTCTTCCTTGGATGGGGACTTGGTAAGCACAACGCCCTTTCTTGTCCCTCTGCCCATGGCTGGGTAGGGCAGCAACAATTCATAACAAACATTCCTCCACCCCGTGTGCACTGATCTGGCTTCCAACAGTCTTTCAAGGCACAGATCCTCAAGAGTACTGAGGTGTGTATCTCCCCTTGGGAGTTGGGCACCTACATACCTTTGAGCATCTGGGCCGATAGGGAAAACACCCTGCAGCTCAGCAGAGATGTGGGAGGGTGGGAAGAAGAAAATCAAATCCAGAAAAATAACCCTCAGACCCATTTGTTCTCCTTAAACTCAGTGTGGAATTGTGTGGAGCTGCTTTAGATTTGAGGCTCCTAAATCCTTGAGTGTCTACTTGAGTTACCAGGAAAAGAACTGGGGAGGAAGAGAATTTTCCAATTAAAATGCACTCGATGCCCCTGGCAGACCGGTACTCAGCGTGACCATTTCAATGACAAACCCACTCAGCCTCCAGGCGCCACATCTGGCCCCAGGCTCAATGGAGCCTGGACATCATGTTACGAAGTGGGCATGTAACTGGCTATGTCTGTCCTGGCACCAAGTTCTGGGCTCGAGAGGCGGGAACAAGGCCAGAGGCCTGTTACCAAAAGGTAACAAAAGTCATCCCAAAATTTAAAATATGCAACTAAGCCGGCCACCGGCCCCAACCCGCTCAATGGCCTCTGGTGTCCTGCGTGCAGGGGGGGAGGCGCTCGGACCACAGCCGCTAGCGTGTTCTTGCTTTATCCAGCTCAATCCCCATGCTGGGCGAGGGCTCTCTCAGCTGTGGGGATCATAAGGGAGGGGCAGGCCGAGGGCCAGTTCTGAGACTGTTTGTATTACAGCAGCCCCGAGGTGCCAGGTGCTTTGCAAACAAACAGCTTGCTGGCCCCACACTGTAACTAGACAGGCCAGCACCTCCTACTCGCGCCTGTTGGGAGCAGCTCCTTCCTCGTGGGATGTCCAGTGCCAGCAACAGACAGACGACCCAGTGCCAAGGAGCAAACCGGCAATACCTCCCTGAGTGGATTTTTCCCCACCTCTAGGTTCCCAGCTGGAGCCGTAGAGCTGGGCAGGGGGAACAAATTCATCTCACAAACCGTCCGTTATAGGGTAGGATCAAACAGGAGCTACCTTCTTCCCAGTTGGGAACGGGCCCCGTGCCAAAGCGTTACTCTGCAACCTGCGGAACTGCATCCCTCCCCGCTGCCCAGCCCACCCCTGCGTCCCGCAGCCAACCCCACCGCACCGCCACTGAGCCTGACCTGGTAGTAGCAAGAGGGAAACATTGGAGCATCGTCTGTGACATGGGCCAGTGTTGGGCGCTCCCCAGCCCAGACCCTGCTGCTGTGACACTGCCCCAGAACATCCCAAAAGCCCAGCCCTGCCCACCTGCGCCCTCACCCTGCAGGCAAAGGGAGTGGGGATGCACGTCTCCCTGTGCAGAACTCTCCTGTTGGGTCTGCAAGCATCTCTCAGCTCCGGGGGGAGAGCAGCTGTGGCTGGACCAGCTCTATGCATCAGACAGCAGCAGGGCAGGGCGCCCCTTGCTCAGGTTTCCTCTCTGGGATCAGAGGCCTGGCAGGGATTGTTGGGAAGGGGATAACAAAGGGAGAAAGGAACACTGACCCCACAGCTCAGCACGAGCTCCGTTGATGCAGCTGTTACTCCTGAAACAAGCCCGCCCGGCCTCAAGCAGATGGTGCCACAGGGCCACGCCAGCAGTCACCTTAGCTCAGCCTCCCTCCTGGCATCCCACGCTGGAAAGACACCCAAACTGGCTACGGGCACACCCGGCAAGATCGCCAGCTGAGTGCTAAGTGGACTGGTGGGAACGGGCTCCCATCAATGGAGGCTAATGCCACAGGCCCCAACCCCTGCAGGCTGTTCATTCCACACGCACACAGCTCCCGCTGCGCTCGCTCATTTTTATTAAAGTGAATAATCAAGAGCCCCACCTCGCCGGCCCATCTCCGCCCTGCGTCCCCCACACGCACAGGGCCCCGGCCCCACAAGACAGTTTTGCCTTTTTTTAAAAAGAAGACCGTATAAAAGAAAAACCAGCACAAGAGATCCCGGGGCAGAGGGGGGACAGGACAGAACGCGTGAGCACCCAGCGCTCCTGCCGGCAGCTCTCCCTTCCTACCGCTGGGCGGTTCGGCGTCCTCTGGCCAGGCTCCCGGAGCAGAGGGGGAGTTGCTCTCTGGGTTGCCCCAGGTATCATGGGCTCTTGGCCGGGCTGGGGCCACCAGAGAGCTGGCTAACTCCTGCCGCTCAGGCAGGTCCCACAGTTACACAGCACTTGGCAGGAGTTTGCTGGGGCTCGGTGGGTTTTTAAATGATTTTTTCCTTTTTAAAAAAACGAAACGAAACGATTGGCTCCCAAAGAGCGGCCAAGGCCAAGCCCGGGGGAGGGTCAAGGGGCCGTGTGCAGCATTAAGTTCCGCAGGAGTTTCTGGCGCCCAACCTCATAATCCTCCTCGTCCACGTTGACCAGCAGCTTGATGGCCTCATGGCCCACGGCTTGCTTGAGCGAGTCCGTGATGAAGACGCCCTTGAGGGCCTCCAGCAACGAGCCGTTTATGTAGTCGCGCCAGAAGGCGTCGAGGTAGGTGAGCTCGGAGAATTTTATGTCACAGATGATAGAGCCCAAGTCCCGGGATTTTAGGATGGTGTTGGCCTGGTTGAAGCGCTCAAATTGCCGCTCCAGGGGATCCTGCTTGTTGGAGAAGACGTTGCCCTGGAGCGCTGTCTCGTGCTGGCAGTACTCGGCTCGGACTCGCAGGCGGATGTCTGGGGGTGGAAGGCAGGGGAGGACAGTTAGCGAGTTCACTGCAACCCCCCTCTGCCTGAGGATCCCAGCACTCCGCGCCCCGGGGAAGGGGTAGCTGCCCTGTCCAGATGACACAGAGGGGAGGGATGTAACCCAGGCCAGGGCCAGCAGTGGAGCTCAAACTGGAACCCAAGAGTGGCCACTAGCCCCCACCTCACTGCTCCTTCCCCACTTCACCATGTGTGTCACCAAGCATCGGCTGTGGAGAGGTGGCTCTGGTGGTGGGTGGGGAGGCGGGACCATAGGTCCTGGCTATCGGACCCAGTCTTGCCTCTCCCGTGTGCTGCGTGCCTAGATGTCATGGCAACCAGCACCAAACCCAAGAGCCAATGAACAGTCACAAATATCAATGACAGCTGGTCTGTTTCCAGCTGACAGGGCAGTGCCTTGTGCCCAGCCCTACACTCATTGCCAGCAGCATCCCCACTGAGCAGGAGCTGCTGGACGAGCCCTTCTCCACAGACACCTAACTGGGTGCTGAGCTCTTCCGAAAACCCAGTCCAGAGTGCTCGATTCCCAGCTCAGTATCACCACCCAGCGCGCTGCAGAGACGCCAGCCTGTCTCCTCCAACCCCCAACCCCCTTCTGCCCATTTGGATCAGCTGCGCAATCCAAACCTGTGCCCCGTCACTGGCATCCGGACACTGCGCTCTCACCAGACGGACCGGGTCAGCGGGACTGCCAGCTCGGGGCGCTAAGTGATCACGAGCGCACTCAGCGGGCCTTGCTGTAGTCGAGCGCCAGGAGCTTTCCCTCCACGGCAGGCACCATGGCCATTTTTTTCTTGGGAATTAAAACATGGGCCCAACTCAGAGTGGCTGCTGCCCTCCACTCCCAACTCCTGTTCGACATGGGGAAGGCTGCTGGGAGGAAGTAAGGGGTCTGGGCCAGCTGTAACAGCTCTCAGAGTCAGGCAGGCTCCAGGCTCGGGCGAGACAGGCACATGGCTGGGAATAAGCTGCCTTGGGCTGGCTAATGGAGCCATGTGGCTGGTGAAGGGGGGTGGCAGCGGGAGGAGTGATGGGGTCTCTGCCTGCTCCATGTGCTGCAGAAACACAGTCACCCCTTGCTAGAGGCCAGGACTGGGCTGCTCTTGGCTTTGCAGGTAGCAGTGGTGGCTCAAACAGGTTTATCTGTGGGTGGCTAAGAGGCCAAGGTCTTTCCCTGCAGACACACACTCCTCACTCATCGATCCCTCCAGGCGGGACTATCCCAACAAGCTCCCATCTAGAGGCACCCGCTGGCAAGAGCGCATTCTCCTGTGCCAGTCCCAGGCAGCGTGGGACCCACCTGGCCTAGGGACCACCTCTCCTCCAGGCAGTGCTAATGGCTGCGAACAGCAGAGGTCATTCTGCTGACAGTCCCTAGATAGTGATCATGTTTGAAGAGTGGAGGCAGCAGAGGGTCCCCAGCTCTGGAACCAGCTCCTTTTGGCAGCCTGCCCACCAGTGCCTTCAGAGCCCAGGCTGGGCTCACTGCTGGGAGGTGGGTTTGGATGGTACAGGTGGGGGTGCTATTGGTGCTGTCTCATGAGGGCCATTTAAAATCACGTGCCCAGATGCCACAGCACCAGGGAACTGGAAGTCATGACCAATCAATCAATCTCACTCATCACAGAAGCTAGCTCTCTGCACAGGCAATAGAGGAGAAGGCCGTTCAGGGTCATCCGGAGGGGATCCAAGCAGCTGACTGGTTTTTGCACCTCACTTTCAATGGGAAGGTTTGGAATTAAGTCCTGCTGTCACAATCGAAGGCAAGCCTTTCCAAGCCCCTCGTGAAGAGCTGAAGCGACAGACCTCACAGCCAGGAGCCCCTCCCAACTCACTGATCTCCAAGGAGACTGTCATCCCCACGACGAAGCAGAGTAAAGAAGTGGGTCTACTAATGCCAAGTCTTCCAAACTTGACCATGCTGTAAGTACCCAACTCCCAGGACACAACGTTGAGCATCTCAATGAAGACCTCCACTGCCTCT